CACAGGGACCGCGGTTCAATCCCCCAGCACCACATGCCAGCCAGCCCAGCCCCCAGGTGGGCTGAGCTGGCCACACACACACACACACACACACACACAAATAAATAAAATTAAAAAAAAAATAAAAATAAAAATAAATAAAATAGTAACATCTGGACCTTACTAATGTATGGAAATGATCACATGAAAGTTTTAAATTTTAGAGAATATAACCTAGAATATATAAGTATAGATTTTTTTGAGTATCCTCAAAATTTTCAAAACATCAGAATATTTAATCACCAACACTGTTACAACTTATTTTCTCAGGCAGTCAACACTAAACACTGATGATGAACACAGAAAGTTAAAATGCCCACCTACCTATCCAGCGAGCCAGAAAGTAGCCTCTGTCCAGAGCTGCTCAGACATAAACATGTCACAGTTTTGTGATGATTTTTCAAAGACACTAGCAACTGTCCTCCTTTCAACATGTCCCATACTTTAACATAACGACCTCCTATAAAAAGAAATAGCAGTAGTTTGATATTCCACCCAGATATTCAAAATTTTAAAGACCTAAGCAGTATTCTTCACTGACATTCACAGATCAAAGGCACAGAGAGGGACTCCAGAGCCGGACTGACTGGTCTGAATCCTGGCCCTGCCACTGAGCCCAGACAGTACTGTAACAGTGCTGACTTCACAGAACTGCTCAGGTGATTAAATAGTATTTTACTCTAAGTGCAAATAACTGCCTAGCAAAAATAAAAAGTATACCTGGAAAACATTTTAAGAAAATTCTAATAAAATCACTGCTTAAAAGAAATTCTTCTTTTTTTTTTGCTGGCTTAGCCCGTCCGGGGGTGGTGGTGCTGGCGTGGTATGTGGTGCCAGGGATTGAACTGCGGTCCCCTGTGCCTACCCTAGTTTTGCCTAAGCGGGCACTTTAGACTGCGGAGCTATCGTGCCAATTTTTTTTTTGGCTGAACTGGGGATTGAACTCAGGCCCTCGGTTGCCATTGCTGCCATTACTCCTCCCTTGGCTCTTCTTGCTCTTTGCTGCCCCCGTGAACTGATGCTCTCTGCCTCGTGCCACTCTGCCATGCAGCCAGCTGCGTATGGACTGAAAGCTCCAGTAACTGGGCCCAGAACCTGCTGCTCAGCCACCTGTTCATGTTTATTAATGTGAGAACCATGTTCCTGCCAACAGCAGATTTCTCTTTTTGGTGGTTGTGTTACACTGAAGACACAGGATGGCCGGCTTCAGAAAGAGTGGAGCACTGGGCAGGAAGAGCCCAAGGCATTGTCTGTACAGCTTCTTTTGCCAAAGCCATACATCCCACATGATCATAAGTTCGCTAAGTCAAGGGGACTTCTGGCTTTCCAGCTTTTGGTTATGGGGTTTTCAAATCGCTCATTTTAATATGCAGGCCAGCAACCCCAGAACTTTCTTTTTTTTTTAAATTTTTTTTTTAACATTTATTTATTGTGTGTGGGGGGCAGCTCAGCCCACCAGGGGGCGCAGCTGGCTGGCATGTGGTGCTGGGGGATCGAACCGCGGTCTCTGTGCTTTGCCAACCTTGTTCCAAGAAGGTGCTTTAGACCACTGAGCCATCTCTCCAGCCCCAACCCCAGAACTTTCTATCTCTGGACAACATATCACAGATAATCTGTTGAGTGAACAAAACTCTCAGATTGCAAGTTAGTTTAAGAGCACCCTGATAAGAAGACGGAAGAATCGATGCAGATCTCCTAGACCTAGCAGTAATAGATTTCAATAGTAGTTCCATTTATCAGAAGAAAAGAAATTATTTAGGTTTTATTGCCAATTTGATTCATTTGGGGTGACTGGCAGCTACTGTGGAATGCTTTGGTTTTATAACAATAAAAATGTTGGTGTAAAGCTAAAATCCAGGACATAAGCTAGCCATAATAGACAGGAATGTCTCCCACTGCAATCTAATTTATGTACTCCTTTGCCATTGTGTTTATTACCAGAAGGAAAGAACTAGAAAAGAGAGAGGGGACAGAAAGGAAAAAATGCAGAAGATAAAGATGGAGCCAAGTAAATGTAGAAGAAGAGGCACCCCAAGCGTGAGCTGGTAGAGCCGTACTTTTCACAGGAGACTAAATAAACACCCAAGAATAGTGATTAAATGCTACAGAACCTTTGTCTACAATTTTTCTAAGCAGAAAGGAAGAGGAAGGTTAAAAGAACCTAATCTGCCCAAGTGTAAGAACTCAAAAGAAATAAAAATTAAAAGGTATAACACAGTTAAATGGAAATCAAGAACTTAAGGTTTAAACAATGAAGAGAAAGGAGAAAATGTAGGAAATATGATTAGTCATCATTAAACAAGATGATTAAGGCAGTGGTCCTGAGACTCTCCATCAGGTTTTTGAAAATAGCAGTTAGTGGGTAGAATTCTCACCCTGACTAACTCTATATGTTGATATCTGTGAACTAAGCAACTATGCTGAGGATAGCAATGTGTAACACTAAAACCATGCTTGAAATACCTGTCATTTTGGTCTTCTAAAAGCATACTGCTTCTAGAATCATAGCAATTATTTAGCAATAAATAATTCTTTATAGTTCTTTAAAGCAATTTTTTTTTTAAAGTTAATAAAAAAAAACAAGAGACAAGAGAAAAAAAAAAAAGGCCCTTGCACTTGCCAGGAAAGCACTTATTCCACTGAGTCATTTCCGCAGCCCCAAGAAATTCTGAATAAACATAGAAATGAGTAGTGTAGATTTTGTTTCCTAAATATTTTGTGAAACCCAACAAAACTGGTAAGCTTTCCTATAGTTCCTATAGTTTTACTCTAAGAATTAAAAATCTCCTTCCTTAATAATAATTTAATCCAATGATTTAGAAAGAATTTTTAAATTCAGTATCTTCTTTCAACAAAATATCAAGAAGTCCAGCAGAGAAAAAAGGAGAAAGGGGTGGGGTGGGGAAAACGAGGCTCCAATGTGCTGTACCTGACGGAGACTCAGAGGGAACAAGTCATGACCGCCCGCCACCTTCCCACTCCCTGTGGCAACTGAAGCAGGGAGTAGCGTGACATCACAGATATGCTCTGACCTCTCTCATTTTCAAGGCTGAGAAACACTGACCAAGGTCACACAACTAACTAGTGGCAGAGCAGCGATTAAAATACAAGTTTCTGTTCTCTTTGTTCAACTTGGCTTTCTTTCCATTTCTCAAAATAACAGCACGCAGAACAGATACATCTGGCAATGATGTCGATTTAAACAGTCAATTTAAACAGGTGTTGGGCAAAGAGTATAAAACAGGACAAACCAAAAAGACTACACATACTATCAAGTATATGTCAGCAAGCTTACAGAGTGCCTACATGTTACTTCTAATGCCAACACATTTTTACTTTATTGACAAATGTGAGAAATCTATTAGTTTATTTATGATTATGAAAATGTACTATGCTAAAATTAACTGAAAAACCTTTGCTTCAACTGGATGAAAAATTTATCATCCCTTTTGGACACTCCCCTTATCTCCTCCTCTAATATTATCAACTATTTACTGGAGAAGAACATATACTGAAAAGTCACAAAGAAAGAGGTGAATCTGATTCTAGACCTCAAAGAACCTGTTGCAAAGGCAGCTGGAGATTTCTTAGGAGAGTGGTGGTGAACCTATGGCACATGTGCAGTGGCAGGCTGTGTGTATCACTGAAAGTTCGAAGGTTTGCCATCACTGTCTAGGAATAAGAGAACACAGTATGGGGGTAAGCTTGCACAGGGTGAAGTACATAACGTAAGATCTCAAGTCCTGCTATTTCAGACCTGTCACTTATCAATTTGTTCTGAACTAAGTAGAAATGTTCATTTATTTTCTTAATTGTAAAACGAGAAAATTAACTGTCTAGGACATTAAAGACAGTATGTATGCAATGGCATGGTGCTGCATTGGGCATGATGATACAGCCCTGTAACCCCAGCACTCAGGAGGTCGAGGTAAGGAGCTCACAAACTCAAGGTCAACATGGGCTACACAGCAAGTCACAGGCTGGCCTAGAGTACAGAGGGGTCTAAAAAAAAAAAAAGGAAGTGCCTGGCTCAGATTAGGTACTCAATATACTCAATATACGACAACTATTTGCTTATCCTGCTATCAACTGTTTACACAACTTAGGTATGTCATTCAAATGCATACTGATGAATTATAAATAGTGACAACAGGGGCCGACCAAATAGCTCAGTGGATTAAAGCACCTGCAAGCAGACACAGGGGCTGGGGATTTGATTCCCAGGCCTGCCACGCTGCTGGCCCCATCCAAAAAGCGCACTGAGATGGCAAGGTAGACTGGGCGTGGTGGTGCGCGCCTGTAATCCCAGCTCTTGGGAGGCTGTAAACAGGCGGGTCACGATGAGTCCAATCTAGCAGTGAGACCCTGAACACCCTGTACACCCTTCTCTAAAAAATATAAAATACATAAATAAATAGTGACAACAAAATATCTGATTCAAGACGAACAATACTGGTAAAAGCTATTTTCCCAAGAAATACCTGAAGACACCAGAAGACCTCCAGAGGGGAAAAGCAGGACACTCTCCACTGGCTGGCCATGCTCAACAGAGAGAACACTCTTACTTGTCCGTGCATCAAACATCTTCACAGTGTGATCATATGACCCTGAAATGTCAATTTTTGTTACAGTATATGAGTCTGGCTGTTTAAAACAATAAAAATCATAAGTTGTGTATATTTAAATGTGAACTTTAATGAAAGAAAAATTTTAGATGGACTACACGCACACACATTCATGAAGACCCAGTGCTTCCCAACTCTTTGATACTACAAATTTTTATTTGTTTTTGCTATCCTAGGGATCATACAGGGCCTAGTAGGCAAGGGTTCTGCCACCAAGCTATACCCTCAGCCCTACTGACAGTTTTTGAAGAAGCACTATATAATACTATACAGAATCTAACCCATTTTGATCTTCAATTATTCCTCTCTGAAACTGCAGTCACTACAGGGTCATGTGCGCACCTTTGCACAGGTGTCCAGAACAACCTACAGACAGTGCAGGGCCCAAGGTGCTGGAGGCTTTCTCAAAACCAGGGCACTAATAAGCCCACCACCATTCTAACAGTCTGCTGTGTTTTCATGACAGCCTGCTACTTCCAAACACATTTGCAGGACAGTTAAAACCACCAAACAAACAGAAAAAAAAAAACCCAAAAAACAAAAACAATGGCATCACTAATACAAATCTATTCGTATTTATTTGAGCTATGACCCTAGTGCTATTAAAAATAAACAAACAAATCTGTCGATCTCAAAAGAATCCTACAGCAATTATGTGGAAAAAATTCACCAACCTGTTACAAAGAGATCTGGGTTCAGTTTGCTGGCACATCCACACCTCACATAATCAGAATGTTCTTTGAATGTCAGAATTTCTTTGGAGTTTGGTATATCCCATAATTTAATGGTATAGTCATCAGCCCCAGAAATCACATGGTATTTATCAGCTGTAAAATCTACTGTATGAACTGCTCTGAAAAATCAAGTGGCATTGTATTAAAAAGCAAGAAAAAAACATATCTCTCACTTTTTGCCCAGATTTTAAAAATTGCTCAGTTTTAGAGAATATTTACAGAATGAAACAAAACCTTTAAAGCAGGTAGTTACTCTTAAATCAGTTTAGAAATGTAACATCACTACATGATTTAGTACCAATACTAAGTGGCGCTGACTAGAGCGCCTGCTTAGGCAGAACACAGCGACCAGGGTCCGATCCCTGGTGTGCCATGCTGGCCCTGCCCTTGGGGAGCCCTGAGACTGCAAGTGGGACTGGGTGTGGTGGTGCACACCTATAATCCCAGCACTTGGGAGGCTGAAAACAGCAGAATCACTGAGTCTGATCTGTGTAGTGAGACCCTATACTAAATACATTAAAAAAAAAAACCTAAGTGTAGCCTTAAACCATATTTTCCACTGTTAATAACTCTTAGGGTATTACTGAAAATGAATATTCTAAATGTAGGAGCAAAGCCATTTTAATTTCTAAAAAATCTTTTAAAAATTCTAAAAAGACTTGTCACAAAGTTAAGAGTGTGTTAGATAAATATTTATTACATTTTAAGTATTTCACTGATTGAGAACATTTTGATAGCATAGAGTGAAAAATGTACTTCTGATATTTTTAAATCAATAGATCTCAGTAAGTACACTGGTAACCGTGAAACAAATGTTACATCATTAAATTATGAGAGTCATTCAATTTATCAAGGAGCAAAAATACCACAAGTCCAAGAAGAAAACTTCAACAGGAGAGCCTCCAGGCAGACCTGGCCCACCGCACTCACCAGCAGCTGGAAGGCCGCTGCAGCACCAGTGACCGGCAGACACATCTGGCCACAGACCTCCCGGGAAGTTCACCAAGGCTGCGCAACACTGCCCCATCTAAGCACACATTTCCTAAACTACCACACACATTCTGGAGAATTCATGAGTTCCAGGAATCAGACCATCAAACCCAAGTTAAATTCTCTCTTCTTAGAACAATTAGGAAATAAAATACAAACTGGTATGTAATTTTCACAGAGCTCCCATGATTTTACTGAAAGATGAGACACAGAACTTTCATCTTTTTTTTTTTTTTTTGGCAGTACCAGGGATTGAACTCAGGACCCTGTGCTTGCCAGGCAGGTACTTATTCTACTGAGCTATCTCCCCAGCCTGAGACACAGAACTTTCAACAAAACAAAACTACGTTAAAAAAGCAACTGTCTCTTACTTTGTGTGACCTTCAAACTGCCTGAGAGGAGCCCTTCCACTTATGTCAAAGAGCTGAACTACACCATCTTCACTACCGGCCACAAGCAATCTACCATCCTGTCGGAAAGTAGCGCAGTATGCTGTGTCCTTAAACCGGGAAAAGGTTTTGATAGGTTCTTGGGAGTATCTGCCGTAAATGTGAATCTGTAAGATCAGAAACAGTATTTCATCAAATTGCTCAAAACCAGTAGTAAATTATATACATTAAAATTTCAAAAAATAATCATTGTACTTACTCTTGAAGAAGCTGTGACTGCATAGTTATACGGAGGCTGAGGGGAAAAGTCTACTTTTGACACTGCACCAAATTCTTTAATCTGAACAGGGGTCTTAAGGAAAAAGAATACAGAGTATTAACAGAGTCCCAACTGGGAAGCCCGTTTAGGCATACAATTTCTTTTTTAAAAAAAATTTTATGTGTGTGTGGGGGGGTGGCCAGCTCAGCCCACCAGGGGGCGGGGCTGGCTGGCCTGTGGTGCTGGGGGATTGCGGTCCCAGTGCTTTGCTAAGCTTGTTCTAAGTAGGTGCTTTAGACCACTGAGCAATCTCACCAGCCCATTTTTTTTGAACTGTTGTTTTTTTTTTTTTGCGGAACCAGGGATTGAACTCAGGCCTCTGCGCTTGCCAGGGAAGCACTTATTCCACTGAGCCATCTCCCTGGCCCCTAGGCATACAATTTCTTACAGCTCATTTCTCTTTGTTTGTGGTAACATTTACTAGTTTATATTCCAGACATACAAAAGCAAAAAAAAAAAAAAAAAAGTCCCTGTCCTATCACCCACACTGCTCCTGTTGCCATTAAAGTTAATAACCACATGGCCAGAAAAACCACTACCGCGTGCCCTCTCAGCTGGGGTTTACTGCAGCACCCCCACCAGTTACACTACACAACGGCCCACTTAACTATGTCTTAAAACGAACATGACCATGACCAGACCATGTGGGCAGTTCTACCCTTCATTATTTTCACTAAATAACCCAACTTAGTTGATTCTGCATATGAGCAACAGATTAACACCCCTGAGAAAGACATTATTTAGTAGACTAACCACTAGTAATAAATGGACACAAGTTTTCTGAGACTTCTAGTATTGCTTACGATACTTCAATAAAATCTCTACACAATATTTTAGCAAACTTCTGGGAATATAATAATTGAATATGTTTCAAGCTGTTGATTACAAAGCCAAAAAGCATTTTTAAAATTATAGCTGTCAAAGCACCTTCCAAAATACATGCACCAATCTCTCTCCCCTAAATGGCAATGACAACCAAAACCTTACATTTGTGCCAGTGGATGAAAACAGTAACCGACTTGTCTTAACTTGCATTTTCACTTGAGTGAAAGTGAGCTGTCCTGATACATTTCTTGTACATTTATATTGCTTTTTCCACATGCCTACCAACCTCAGGCTTTTTGCACTTTTCCACTTAGCCTTTCTGTTTATCTGTGTTTTTGTGGTATTGGAGATTGCACTTGGGGAGTTCCGACCTCAGGAATGACATCCCTAGTCCTTTATACAACTTTTTTGAGACAGGGTTTTGCTAAGTCACTAAGTTGCCCAAGCTGAGCTTGAACTTGTCACTAAGTTGCCCAAGCTGAGCTTGAATTTGTAATCCTCTCACCTCAGCTTCTCAGTGTGTTGCAATCACAGGTGCTCTGGCTTAGTTTTTTAGTTTTTAAAAAAGTCCCATGCAAGCCTTACTATAATGAGTATGTACAAACCAAACTAACTCCATAGCACTTTTTCCTTAAGAAAAATAGAGGATATCTTCTTGAATATGAGATTAAAATTTTAAAATTCAAATCATTTGGCACTGATCAGTTCTGTGTTTTGTACTTACATGGCTAAAATGATGAAGCAGCATAGCCTTTTACATAAAATTCCAAGAAAGTTAGGGATGGTGGCACATAGCTGTAATTTCAAGCACTCAGAAGGCTGAGGCAGGAGGACTGCCATGAGTTTGAGGCCAGCCTGGGCTACATGGTGAGACCTTGTCTCAAAAAAAAAAAAAAAAAAAAAAAAGCAAAGCACAAAAAGCACAAAAAGCAAAACACTAAAATTCCAAGAAAAAAAAGCTATCTGTTTAAGCCATAAGGTGCTCAATCTTTAGTTAATATTTATTCAGTTGGTTGGTTTTTTTTTAAGACAGGGACTCACGATGCAGCTCACGCTGATGGCAATCCTTAGTTTAGTTAATATTTGTTACACATCTCCAAAGTATAACAAATGCTTGAGGAACTAGCATAAATAAATAAACACACATACCCCTTCTCTCATCCTTGTCTCCCATACTTACCTTATAGTTGTTCCAGTACAGAGTATCTTGGGTGATTTTTTCACCAAGTACAGGGTATATCTGAATAGCTGCAGGCTTATAGCCAGCCATGATTTCATATAGTTGCACTGTCGCCCAAGAGTCAATAATTTGATATTAAAAATAAATCTGAAAAAGAAACTATTTTAAGAAATGTATCATTTATAAACTTGTACACATATCTGTTATTATTTTTACTCTTTCTTTTTGAAGACTGTGCGGAAACTGCTAGACTAGTGACAAATAACTCTTTTAAAGAGACCATTTAAACAAAACAGGAAGGGCTATCATGATGTGTACAGCCTGGCTAGGTTGGACACGTGGGGATAACTCTGGCTCACACTTCCAGGAGACAAACCCGAGAAAAAGACTGGCTGATAGTGCTCATTTTTCGACAACAGGAAATATTAAGATAAAAGTACAATCACACCAGATATTTGCCTGTAATCCCAGCACTTGGGAGGCTGAGAGAAGGAACACTGTGAATTCAACACGTGTTTGGACTACATAGTGAGACCCTGTCTCAAAAACAATCATCCCCCTACCCCACCCCACCCCACCCCTGCATGCTGTGCTGGCCCCTCCCCTGGGGCGCAAAGTGACAGCTGAGACTGGGCCTGGAGGCTCGTGCCTGTAATCCCAGCACTTGGGAGGCTGAAAACAGCAGGATCACTACAAGTCTGATCTGGGTAGTGAGACTTTGTAAAGCCTGTACTAAATACATTTAAAAAAAAAAAATCACAAACAAATTAACAAACACACTCGACTTCCTAAAAATGCCAAGAAGAAAAAGTAATTCTACCATACAGCTTAAAATTGAAAAGCTTAAAGGGAAATTGGAAAGTAATGTTCTGACACAGAAGCTTAATTTTGAAAGGTTTAAACAGCAGCAAGAAAATCAGAATAATGCAATTCTAAATTAAAGTGACAGAAAGGGCCAGCCAAATAGCTCAGTGGATTAAAGCGCCTGCAAATAGGCGCAGGGTGCAAACAGGCACGGGGGTGGGGGGGTTGGGGCTGATCTCCGAGGGCAACTGCGACGGGGCATGGTGGCGCGCATCTGTAAATCCCAGCTCTTGGGAGGCTCTAAACAGGCGGATCACTGCGAGTCCAGTTGGATCTAGTAGTGAGACCCTAAACACCCTGCAGACCCTTCCCTAAAATACCCCCCCATAAATAAAGTGACAGAATGGAATAAAAATAAAACCACCAAAACAAAATAAGTCATTTGACTTTTATATGCCATTAAACCACCTCGTCCGGTCTCCACCTCTATCTAGTTATTACCAAGTTTACCGTCCACACAGCATTCCCTCTCATTCCTGCCTCAGCGCCTGTCTGCTGAGTTCGGTGCCAGGGCTGCCTTCTCTCTGCTTTCTGCTAATACTTAAGGGCTCGATTCAGGAATCAAACTGTCTTACAAGAAACCGCTGCCCTCGGAGGCTCGATCTGTCTTGTACGACCCTGTTTACTCTGGGCATTTCTCTCAACGCACCTAATCACACTGCACTGCGATTATTTCTTTTGCCTTTTAAACTGATCGATTCGCAGCTGGAAAAACTTCTACAAAGTGCTCACATCAAATGCATCCTTGTGGAAGAAGAAGACGCGACACGGCACTAAAAGCAGCGGGCAAGAAATGAAGTTAAAAATAAAAAGGAGGGAAATGGTCTGGCTGTGGCCAGCGTGCAGAAAACAGGTTTTAAGTGACTTAACAGGTACTACAGCTATCTAAATGCCACGAGTACTGGACAGAATGCTAAGAGCCGAGAAAAAGGAGGCTTTTTAATTCTGCCTGAAGATCGTGCCATTTCTGAGCCCTGGAGTTGCACATTACACCAGCTTCCCCGTCAGTGAGGAGCTCCAAGGTGAGGGCGGGGAAAGAAGAAAATATAGGACCGTCGAAACTGCGAGGTAGGGCCGGGGAGATGGCTCAGTAGAATAAGCTTTTCCCTGGCAAGAGGAAGGGCTTGGGAAAAAAAGAAAAAAAGAAACTGTGAGGCTCAGAAGCTAAGGCACTGATGGAACTCTGCGGACTACTTCGGGCGCTGATGACGGTGGACAAGAGAGCGGGTCACTGCAGAGCGAAACTAGGATCAAAAATAAACTGCAAGGACCCCGAGCATCGGGTCACCCGGCAAGAGCAGGCGTCCTCACCAGAGCCGGAGCGTGCCACCAACCACCGCGAAGCCTGAAGAAGTCGGATTACCTCCCCTGGTAGCCGCCTCACATACCTCGGCGGTGGCCCTCGGTCTGCCTGGGTCTGTCTGCTTCCAAGGACAACTTCTTGCACTTTGGCACGCACCTACACCATGCCGTTGCAAATCACCTAGCAAAATCACGCGGAACGTGCCGGAGCCGCGACCACACGGCCGAGAGAACGGCGCGCGGAGATGACGTATCCGCACAGGCCGACTCGATTGCGTTACGCGCGACCCGGAAGGCTCAGGGGCGGGGCGAGTGGGCGGGGCCACGGGGGAGGAGGAGTCACCCGGAAAAGGCTGGGGCGTTGCTCTACTGACCCAGAGCTGTCACCTAAGATGACCCCATCTCCGTGGCGCTCTGTCACGTGGACCGCGGAGCGTAAAGGCAGCTAAAAAACAAAACAAAAACCAAATGCTGGAAATCCTCTTGGCTGCTTCGATGTGGAACCTTTTTTTGCCAGAAGGAGAAAGGAGAAATCGGAAGTGACGTTGCAACCAAAACAAGCCTGGGCGTGAGGTCTGCACCGAATCTCGGGCCCTCAGCCGCCCGGGGAGAGCCGGCCGCTCCCTGGGGCTGAAGGCTGCGGCGCGGCGCCTCCCCCGCGGGCCTGGGTCCGCCCGGCTCGCGCGGCGACGCCGGGACACCTGTCGCTGTGGGGCCTCACTCGCTTCCGCAGCACCTTCCTCTCGCTGTGGGACGAGCTCAGGGCTCGAAGAACCGGGGGCTTCCACCGGCGCCTCGCCCGGATGCTCTCCGTGCGACAGATCGAGGTGAGCCTCGCTGCTCCGGCCTTGCCCGCGCTGCTCGCCGCCGCCTCTTCTGAGTCACCCCTGTTCCCCGCCACCTCCAAGAAGGTGGCTTCCGAGTCGGCTGCGCTGCTGCTCCTGCCTGGGGCGCTGCGGAGATACACCTTCCTCCCCCAGCACCTGCGCTGCTGTCGTCTCAAGGACTGGTGGGTTTTTAATCTAGGAACCCCATTTATAACATAGCTGTTCAGAGTTTTACTGCTGCCTGCTTCAGCGCCTTCATTTGGTAATTGAAATTAGTAAAACACATTTGTGTGTCCAGGGTACAAGGCTCATTAGTAGTTATTGGAAGTGGAACGCTAGATCGAATCAGCAAAGGTGAGACAGAAAGGAATGTATGAAAATGTCACAGCCCTAGAGAGCACCTGGTAGGACTAAGAGCAGTTTTCTGTGCAATTATCAGTAACAAGGGTGCATTCTAGGGTCTGGGATTTAGCATTTGAGTTGTTCAGAGGGTGCAAAATGTTAAAATAGAGCCCGATGGAGGCTGCTGAGAGAGCTGAGGGCCGTGGCACTTGGCGAACCTGTGGGTAGCTGAATGGAGAAAATGACTCTTCTCTCTCAAACCCCTTTCACGTAGGACATTCTCCAAAAAGCCCATTGCATCTTTTGCATTACCCTTCTATCTCCATTTAATTCACTAATTTTCTGTACTGGTTTCCTTTTCTTTTGCTAAAATGTATTACCTTTGTTCCTTGCTACTTTTCTGTTACTTCTTTAGTTCTTTCTCTTCGCAAGTTTTGCATCGGTTGAGTGCTACTTGTTACTTTAATGGTCAGTGATGGAGTCAATAGAGTGGATAAATTCCTCGTCATCTATGAGCTTCCTTTTCCTCCTCTGCTAGGTGCGCAAGATTACCAGCTTTGCCTTCCTAGAGGATTGCTATACAGCTCAGTCTTTGGATATGATCTTAAAACTGTGAACAGGGGTTATCTGTACATGTATAGTTTGCTAACCACTGTTCCACGGTGAATCTACTCCATTTGCCTCTTTTAGTTCTAATTTTAATACTCAAAGTTTCTAAGAGGCAGTAAACTCCAAAGTGGAAAATGAATTGGATGTTCATTTTCTCCCTGTCTCAAAGGATTATCTGTCTGGGACAGTTAGCTATCTTGGGAAGCCAAGCTATAATTTATTATAGCTTAAGCTTTATTAAGTTGCTAATGCTTAATCTGAACAAAAACTGATAAATATGCCATCTGTTAATCAAAACTGAAGCTTTGTAAAGCTTCCCTAGCTAGGACTCACAAGCGTTACAAGTAACAGTGCTAGACAACCTAGCTGTGACACAAGTTATAAAAATTCAAACCAAGCACCACTTAAATAAATGTAGCATGTTTTAAAAAATGAACTGCATGTAGGAGGTTAAAGTTTTGACATGAAAATTTATTTTCACTGGTAGCCGAATCTTTTAGCAGTGGTGACCAAAATTCATTACAATGTAGTAATGGAAGTGATAATGTTTCTATTTTTCTTTTAGGTCCTAATTTATTTCTTTTTCTTTTTTCTTTTTTTATTGAGAAATAAATATGAATGAGACAGTTTCACAGCTGATTAATAGGACAGTTTTGATAATCAATACACTGTACATTGTTATCTTCTTAGTGGTTATCCATAGTACAAGAAGCAGACAGGATATTCTGTCCAAACACTGTTAGTACACCTCTTTCTTCTCATTGAATTAAGCGAAAGTAGCTGTAAATTTATCCTAACTATTTTGTATATATAAATACAAAATGATCTGTCCTTTCTATTTTTTTTTGTCCTGTCAGAGGTGAATATTCTATTGGCATCTAAATACTATAAGTGTTTGAATTCAACTAAACAATCTAACACTGTCTAGCAGTCTATAATATTAGTGGGTTATCCTCAGAAGTTATTGACTTGAGCCTTCTACAGCTCATCATATTAATATGGCTTTCCTTTATATACCTCGTTTTTATACTTTTCTGCTGGAGATAATGTTTCTATATTGCACTTATTCTTCGCCAGGATCCTGTAAATTTTATTCTGGTAACCCTATTTTTTTTTAAACTTTTAATTTAATTTAATTTAATTTAATTTATTTATTTATTGTGTGTGTGTGTGTGTGTGTGTGTGGGGCCAGCTCAGCCCACCAGGGGGCGGGGCTGGCTGGCATGTGGTGCTGAAGGATTGAACCGTGGTCCCTGTGCTTTGCTAAGCTTGTTGTAAGTAGGTGCTTTAGACCACTGAGCCATCTCACCAGCCCTCTGGTAACCCTATTTTACAAATAAGATGGAAGCCCAGAGAAGTTCAGTAATTTGTGCAAGTCACACAGCTAATAGATGATGAAGCCTGTATTCGTATGCAGGTTTCTTTACCTCTGGACATTGTATGCTATTATGTGTAGGTTATTTAAGAGCATTGTTTGGATACTTAATTGAAAATAATTTTTTTTAAACTTTTACCTAAGTGGTATACTTTTACTTATCTAATATTTTCTTTTCAGATTTTTAAATATCCAAATTCTAAGAATACACTGGATATTGCTCTTATACCTTCAAGAAGAATCATGAGAAAAAGTTTTAATTATTAAAAGCTAGAGTTGAAATCATGGCTACATCATCGAACCTGGATACAGCCCAGCTGATAGTGGAAGAATGCCCGAGCAGTTATGGTCTCTCTGGCATGCCAGACATTAAAATAGAGCATCCACTGGACCCAAATGCAGAGGAGGGATCGGCACAGGGCATTGCCATGGGAATGAAATTTATACTGCCCAACCGCTTTGATATGAATGTGTGCTCACGATTTGTGAAATCCTTAAATGAAGAAGATAGCAAAAATATTCAAGATCAAGTTAATTCTGACCTGGAGGTGGCATCTGTCCTATTTAAAGGTTGAAAGTTATGGTATAAATACCTGTCTTTGCTTTCGTTTGCCTGAGTGGGGTTCTTTCATTGTTGCTTTGGTCCACTTTTGGGTTTGGTTTTGTTTCTATTCTCGCCCCCCCCCCATCATGAGATTTGGAGTTCAGAAACCAGAATTAAGTAGTTTCATATTGAGCCCAGGGAGATAGCTCATTAGAATAAGCACTTGCCTGGCAAGTGCAGGGTCCTGAGTTCAACCCCCAGTACTGCAAAAAAAAAGAAAAAAGTAGTTTCATATTATATAATGTCTATTTTAAAGGAAATACATGATTTTTAAAACATTTCTTACCTATCTACAGATTTTCTAGTGAAGTTTTTATTGTATCATTTAAAATCATAGGAGGAAAAAAAAATCCTTCTTCCTTCTTGAAATGAATTAGCTTTTTTTGTCTGAAATAAATTAGCTTGATATTCCCTATTCATGAACATTTCATTCGTGTTTCAAATGCTTTAATTTAGTAGTCTATCAACCTACTTTAGATTTCCTTTTATAATGAGCTATTGAATAATCAAATTAATCTCTTATTATGAAACTTTCACTGGGTAGTATAGACCAAAAAACTTAGTATCACTTTATAAACAATTGTGCATTAAAGCTATTATACCACAGACATTTCTTTTTTAATGTTGAAATTGACATAGCTTTTATTGAAATTCTTTGTCATTAAAATACTGTTATAATGTACTTAAATTTATTTTGCTTAGCTGAATGCAATATCCATACATCTCCTTCTCCTGGAATTCAAGTAAGACACGTCTACACACCCTCTACCACGAAGCATTTCTCCCCCATAAAACAGTCAACTACTTTAACCAACAAACACAGAGGAAATGAGGTCTCCACCACACCTCTGTTAGCACATTGTAAGTATATACTCCTAACGTATTAAAATGTTGTTACTAGTAGAGTAGTTCCAGGGGTTTGGCTTGGAAATACTATTTTCATGAAGTGCGTATTCTCCTTTTGAAAAATGATTTCCTCGTATTTTTAGTAATGTAAAACTTTTAGGTATCATTATATGTTTAAAGAGCTCAGTTTGTCTTTCTCTGTTGCTGGGCATACTGGCACATGCCTGTAATCTAGCACTCAGGAGGCTGAGGCAAGAGGATCACAAGTTCGAGGCCAGCTTGGGCTACGTAATGATTTCAAAGCCAGCCTGAACTACAGAGTGAGACCCTGTCTCAAAAAAATTAAATAAAAAATAAAAACAATAACTGTGAACTTTTTGCAAGATGTTATTGTATTGTTTCTTAGTGAAATGTTTTGTGTTCTACTTATAAACAAGATCACTAATCAACAAATGATTTTCCAGGAAAAGCTGAGTAATTTCTGTTATAATATTGTATTTGAATATAATAGTTTAAATATAAAGGACCTCTTAAAATGTTGAATCTGTAATTTGTAAACATGTATGATCATTGTAGAGGAAATAAAGTTTTTCTATTTAAATTAAAAATACTCTGTGTAGAATAGGTATATAAATGAAAGATAAACAACAATAGATGATAGTTACTGTATGAAAATATAATGTAAGTATACCTACATTCCAAAGCCCTGTAGAATCTTTACTTTTACATTAGACATATTGAACCCTTCCTGATTTCTGAATCCCATGCTGCAGCAGCTGAGACAAGAGTCTCCCTCGAGAACCCTTGTCCCCATGCTGGCCTGTCCTGGCTTGCGTAAATCCTCCTGGCTGCTTTCCTTTGTGTATTACTCTATAGCATCATAGCACTGAAGTCGGTGACAAGCACTATTAAAGGTTTTAATAAGAGCCCTTAAGAACAGTGCCATTGTGGCGTTTCCCTAAAATAAAAGAGATTCATCTTACTATATTCCAGTCATAGAACTTCTCAGCTGAAAATCAGTAAGTAGCTACAGATCTCTGGTTCACACTCTTCATATTACAAACAAATCATCGGTCATCCAAGATCACTTGGCTGGATTGGTCACAATTAAGCCTGTTGGCCACTATTAAGCCTATTCTTCAGAATTTATTCTTTCTCTCTCAGCAGACTCAGTGCCTGCTTAGGCTAGTGCAGGGACCGGGGTTTGATCCTGACACCACGTGCTGCACCAGCTCTGCCCCGGGCACGCTGAGCAGGCCACCAAGACCGGGAGTGGTGGCGCAGGCCTGTAATTCCAGCACTGGGGAGGCTGAAAACAGGAGGATCGCAATGAGTCTAAGCTGTGTAGTAGGACTGTACCGAATACATTAAAAAAAAAAAGAAAGGAATTTACTCTCAAGGCCAATTTTCCATTTATGACCTCACTTTTTGAAATATCCATGGACTCTTGAAATGAAAATATTTAGGATTTCTAAAGAGCTAGAAACAGCTGCCTGGGAGGCTGAGGGAAAAGGCTGCGTGCTCAGAGTTGGAGACCATCCTGGCCAACAAGGTGACTGCTGTCTCAGAAAAACAAAACAAAAACCACTTCCATGGATTCAATCCATAAGACAAAAAGATGTCTTTGTGTCTTTCGGACCTGTCTTCTTCATAAGTGTGGGTACAAAGAGAACGTTTTCAAAATTAAGTACGTAAGCCATTTCTTTGGAATAAAATAATTTTGTTGAAAATAACAATTTGAGGGCTGGTGGGATAGCTCAGCGGACTAAAGTGTCTGCTTTGGCAAGCACAAAGACCAGGGTTTGATCCCTGTCCCGCATACCGCGCCGGCCCTGCCCCAGGGCGCACTGAGCCAGCCATGGTGACCCGGCGTGTACTAGGGAGGTTGAAACCAGGAGGATCAGCATGAATCTGAGCTGTGTATTGAGACCCTGTACCAAATACATGAATGAAAATTTTAAAAAATAAAAGAAAAATTTGCAGATGTCAAACAGCAGTACCTTCAGTGAACACCCAAGAGTTGTTCTCAGGTACAAACAGGTACCTGTGATGTCAGGATATACTGTCATTTTTCAATGAGAAATAGAGTTCTTATTTTGGGAAAGAAATTTGCCCCCGAACATGAGCTGTGGGCAGACGCGCGAGCAGCGTTTTCTGGTGTTGTTTCAGCTCTGTCTATCCACCAGTTGGCAGCCCAGGGAGAGATGCTCTACCTGGCGACCCGCATTGAACAAGGTAACAGCTGGGGTTTCAATATTTTGTCTAAAATACACTCAGTAGGATTTAATAGGTTTGTTTCATTTTAATACAGGGAAGTACAAAAACCGAAAATGATCATCGTATGGTATCACTGGAGTGATGACCCGGAGGACGCTGAAGAAAAGTAGTACGAAGTGTAGATGTCATAATTTCCATTTCCCCCAAGTCTTCTTGCTGAAAGGAAGAACTCTTTCGTTTTTCAAAATTTTTTTCTAGAAAACATTGCTATTTTTATTTTGGAAGGTGTGGGAGAATGTGTGCTTTTTGTTATTTACATATGCAGACAAATATTGTACTCACTGTACTTACTAGCTTAGTTTTTTATTTTATTTATTTTTAGCTTAGTTTTTTCAATTAATGGTTTGGAAAGGTTTTCATAAATCCATTTTCTTCCTTTTAATAATTCTATAATTTAGAAACTTGTATGACTTTGCATGGATA